AGTGGGCTGTTCTCTGGAAGCTTGGAAGAAAGTTGAGAGCAGAACCAGGATAGTGGCACACACCTTTAATCCCAGCCATTGGGAGGCCGAGGCAGGCAGCTCTCTGTGAGTTTGAAGCCAGCCTGGTCTACAAAGTTCCAGAACAGCCAAAGATACACAGAGAAACCCTATCTCGGGAAGAAAAAAAAAAAGAATTTTGAGAGCAGTGCAGAGGATGGAGGCCTGGCTTGTGAAGTTTCAGAAGGCAGATTAAAGACTATCACGGCCATTTGCTGTTTTGATTTAAGAGTCTGGCATTGTGGCATTGTGGTAGCTGGGGCTGAAGAATCAGCTGTGATTAACGAGATACCAGAACTCCTAAAGTGAAATTTTTGCAGAGCTTGGATACTCGATGCTAGTTGGCAGGAGCTGAGAATCTGGCATTGATTAAGAACAGACCAGCATTGTTAGGGTGAAATCTGGGAAGTATTTCCTGAGAGCACAGAGAAGCTGGGTTCCAGAGGCAGCCTAGGTTGTACCTTGTGCTGGCAGCTGAACTTGGTAGTGTAAGGGTCACCCAGGTTTTGAAGGCATGAAGGGGTCATGGAGAGCCGTTGAGGCTTGGCACTGTGAGAGGCCAGAAGAGGCCATTGGTGAAGGTGGAGCCTCAGTGGCAGTTGAAGGCCCAGGATTGAAGGGGTCATGAAGAGATGTTGACAGTGCAGTCCAGTTGCCCCAGAAGTTTTAGAGATGGCAGTATGGTTGAGATAACCACCAAGGACAGCAGCAGCGGAGTGGAGCCAAGCAGAGCCTAGAAGATAAGCTATGTGTGCTGCAGAAGGCAGAGCATAGGAAGTGACCCAAGCCCCTGGAGAGACCCAGAAGATAGATCATTGAGTGGATTCCAGGCATTGGACATTGGTGTTATTTACACGGTTAGGTTTGGTTTGGTTTTTATTTGATTGTGACTGTGCCCTGGGTCTTCACTCTTGAAATGTGAAGATATATGATTTTGATTTTTACAGGAGCCCACAGCTGAAAGACTTTAAACTTTTAAAAGAGATTTTGGATTTTTAGAGAAATTGGATTTTTTGTTTTTGCGACAGGGTTTCTCTGTAGTTTTGAAGCCTTCCTGAAACTCACTCTGTAGAGCAGGCTGGCCTCAGGCTCACAGAGATCTGCCTCCCTCTGCCTCCTGAGTACTGGGATTAAAGATGTGCACCACCACCACCTGGAAAAATTGGATAGTTTAAAGAGACGGAAATTTTAATGTATTTGAATTTGTAAAAACTGTAGGACTTTTAAAGTTATTTATGATTTTAATGTGAGATCTTGACAAATAAGAAAGGAAGGGTTGTGGCTCAATAGTGATGTGTTTGTGTGGCAGGTTGACAAGGGATCAGTTGTGCTGGCTAGTCATGTCAACTTGACACAAGCTAGAGTTATCTATATGAGGGAACCTCAGCTGAGAAAATGCCTTCATAAGATCCCGTTGTAAGGCAGTTGTAATTAATTTTATTAATTAGTGTTTGGTGGGGGAGGGCCTAGCCCATTGTGAGTGGCGCTTGTGTCAAGTTGACACACAAAACCAGCCAGTACAGAAAGAAGTAAACAAATATAAAAAGTAACATAGTGATAAACTGAAAAAAAATTCGACTGTGCTAAGTCAGATTTGTCACTCACTTTTTGAATGAAGAGATGGCTCAGTGGAAATAAGAGCACTTGCTGTGAAAGGCAGAGGGTCTGAGTTCAGATTCCCAGCACCCACATGGCTTTACAGCCTGCAAGCCCAGTACCATGTGGTGAACACAGGCTCATCTCTGGAGCTCGCGAGCTGTCTAGCCTAGCTGAAATGTTGAAGCTTCAGGTTCAGCAAGAGACCCTGTCTGAAAACATAGCCTACAGAGGGCCAACAAGATATCTCAGAGGGGAAGGGCACTAGCCACTAAGCCTGATGACCTTAGTGCTATCCGCAGAACCCACATATTGGAAGAAGAGTGTAGTAAAAGGAGCAGCAGGGCTGCGACCCCAGCACCCCGGCTGCCTCACTAGCTTATGCCCCAAAATAACAACACACAAATTGTATTCATTTAAACACTGCTTGGCCCATTAGCTCTAGCCCTTACTGGCTAATTCTGATATCCCGATCAACCCATATCTAATAAACTGTATAGCACCGGTCTTACCGGGAAAGATTCAGCCTACATCCATCCTGGGTCGGAGCTTCATCACGTGTGCCTCAGAGAGCAGAGCTATCGCGTCTGCCCGGGAGAGGGGAGCATGGCGTCTCTGCCTGAGGCGTCTTACCTCACTTCTTCCTCCCAGCATTCTGTTCTGTTTACTCCTCCCACCTATGTTTTAACCTATGAGGCCAAGCAGTTTCTTTATTACTTAACCAATGACCTTCCTCCATCATTTCCCCTTTTTCTGTTTAAACAAACAAAAGGGAAGGCTTTAACTTTAACATAGCAAAATTACATATAACAAAACAGTTATCAAGTAAGAATTACAATATTTATATCTATTTTATCTTTATCATAACTAAAGAAAATATATCTATATATTCTTTAACTCCACCAAAGACTCCAGAAGGATATAATATTACCAAATTAAACAAGAAATAAGCAAACTTCAAAACTCTAGAAATGACAGAGACATCTCGCTGCCTGGACAGTCACCCAAAGTTCCTCTGTACCATTGGGGCATCCATCTTCAGCCTTCAGGCCCATGGTATCCAGCAGACATTTCCATGAAGCAGGAAAATTCAAAGTCAGTTCAGTCACTATCTGTTGTGTCCTGCAGAATGTCTTGCAGACTCCTTCATGAATCAGGAACCCCGAAAGATCATCTCACCTTTAGGCAAGTTCAGTAGTCCTCTCTCTGCGGGTTCTCTGTGTTCAGTTTATACAATAGTCCAGGCAAGAGCAGTTTCTTGCCCAAATGGCTATCAAACTCCATAAGGATCCTCTTCGATGCCCATCTTCCTCTTGAAGTAGATGTGGAGCACATATATATACATGTACAAACAAAACACTCATACACATAAATCTAATCTTTTTAAATTTATTTTATATGTATGAATGTTTTACCTTAATGCATATAAGCACACTACACTACATCTCTGCTACATTCCCTGGAACTGGGATTATGAATTGTTGGGAGCCAAGATATGGGTATGGATCCTCTATAATAACAAGTACTTTTAACTACTGAGCCATCTCTGCAGCCCCCCAAGAAGGGCACATTGAGTTAGGTATGGTGTAATGCAGACATAATCCCAGCCTTCTGTCCCTCTGGAGACGGAAGCAGGAGGTTCTTTCTTAATAGGTAGGCTCAACTGTATATATAGGACTCTGACTCAAAAAAAAAAAGAGAGAAAATAAACATAGAACTAGTAAATACTCATGAAGAGATATTAAATGAAAACACAAGTTTCAAAATTATGTTTATAATTACAGTATAATTTATAATTATTATAAATTATATTATATAATTATTATAATTACAGTATAATTTTTAAAAGTAGATGTATAGGGGAAAGACAAGAAAGATGCAGCAAAGCATTGAAAATGGTTCTGTTTTCTGTTTGCAAAGTGGGCAGAATTTTAGGCTTCTATTTAAGGTTGCCTGTCTTGTTTTTTAATGATTTATTTATTTTATGTATAAGGTTATTTTTGTCTGCATGTATGCACATGTGTGGACTTGGTGCTCATGGAGGTCAGAACAGTGTGTCAGATCCACTGGACCTGGAGTTACAGCTGTTAACCCCTATGTGGGTGCTGGGAATTGAATCTGGCTCTCCTGCAAGCGCAGTATAATGCTCTTAACCACTGAGCCATCTCTCCAGACCCCAGTTTGCCTGTATTAAGCATTTTTAGTAAATATTCAAATGATAATTCATAAATGTAGGAAGGGATTTTCTGCAGAGAGATTTCTTTTGGGTTCTAAGTCTTGTACTGTGAGAAGTGTGTGTTCCATATGTTCAGACTCTCTCCCAAATAGATGATTTGCCTTATTGCTAGGCTCTCTCGGCTATCAGAGAATTTTACTGTTCAGCCTGGATAATTAGAAAGCTTTCCTTATGCATGCACTGATATTTATATGCAAAACATTTTTTAGAGTACATGATTGTAAAACAACTCATGCTTCTTCATCTGTCTACGAGTCTACATTGCATTAAGTTGTGCATCTTGGCTTCTATTTTTCTGATAGGTAAATTGATAAGGGTAAGAGGAATGAAGGGCATGGTGTACCAACACTGACCAGGCACTTTTGTAATAGCTTCCATTACCTTTTCTTCTTACCTCTTGTGTGTATTGAAGAGAGCCTCATTGATTTGCTCTAGCGAGAATGTCCTGTATGACTCAGCACAAGATCTTTACATCTTAGAACAGTTGAAAGATAGGATTTTTGACTAAGATATTTATTTTTTTCGAGACATGGTCTTTCACTATAGTCCTGGCTATCCTGGAACTCGCTCTGTAGACCAGGCTGACCTTGAATTCAGAGATTCCCCCTCCCCCCAACTGCCTCCTGGGTGCTGGCGTTAAAGGTGTCCACTACTTCTGGCTAAGACTTACTTCTGGCTAAGACTAAGAATTTTAAGAAGAGTTCCCAAATTGAGCCTCCAACCGTTAAGTTAAGGATGGATCCAGCACTGTCACCTTCATTATCAACCTGCTTTCTCAGCACCCAGGACACCCTTATTCTGTCTCATGGTGCATCTCTCAGGAATCTAGATATGTAACTTTTTAATGTAGTCCTTCCCATTTTCTTTAAATTGATAGTAAGCCTAATTTATAGAAATTGCCTAGGTTGAAACAAAACAAACCCTTGCTTTTTTCCTTAATTATGATAGAAATAAAAATTGATCATTAATGGTCACAATACTTTTAGGTCAAGGAATATTAAGTTTGGAGATTTCAGCTGTAAGACAGAGTGAAGGTCATGTCTCTTGGTTTACAAACAGGACTCTGCTATACCCACACCGATAATCATTGCTTTGTTATGTCTGTGAACAGGTTCCTGGTATAAATTTACCTGTCAATCAGCTGACTTACTTCTTCGCTGCAGTCCTCATTAGTGGTGTTGTACATGAAATTGGACACGGTATAGCCGCTATTAGGTAATAAGACTTAACTTTTTCCTTTCTACTATATGCAAAGAAGCTTTTCATTTAAGAAGATTTATTCCTCAAATCTTGTATGTTTGAGGTTTTTTTTTTCTTTTGGTAGATATCACTCAATGTATACTTAGCATTCATTACTTGGGGTAGTGTCTCTTTTATAGAAAAAACTAATATACTGCTGATGTGTCTTTCCAATCATGTGATCATCTGTAGTTTAAGTCTTTCTGTCTTTTGGTTTATGCCATCATGATTATAATCTTGGTGCTTCAGGGTTTTTCGTCTAGTCTTTTTATTTAAAAATTCTATTTATTTATTTATTGTGTATGTGTGTGCATGCATGTACATGCTATGGCATGCTAGTGGAAATCATAGAACAACCAGTGGGAGTTACTGTTCTTCTGCCATATGGATCCCCAAATTCAAACAGTTCACAGGATTGGCAGGAAGTTCCTTTATCCACAGAACCATCTTGCTAACTGGTACTCTGGTCTTCAGTGAATTCAACCCTCTGCCACTACTCAATGTTTTCTGGGGTGAGGAGGTAGTCAGAAGGAGAGGTCTCTTTAGCCCAGTCTGGCCTCAAACTCAGAGTCTTCGTGCCTTAGTCTCCCAAGTATTATGTAGTGATGAGGCAAGCAGGCCTGCTTTTTGTCCTGCCCGGCTCCCGCATGGTTAGCTTTATACCTGAAATAACAACACACAAATTGTATTCTTTTAAACACTGCTTGGCCCATTAGTTCTAGCCTCTTATTGGCTAATTCTCACATCTTGATTAACCCATTTCTAATAATCTGTGTACACCGGGAAAGATTCCTCATGTCTGACCATGGCGTCTGACCTCACTTTCCTTCTTCCCAGCATTCTGTTCTGTCTACTCCACCCACCTATGTTCTGACCTATCAGGCCAAGCAGTTTCTTTATTAACCAATGAAAGTAACACATACATCAGTATTAGGAAAGTATGTACATGGATCTACATTATTGGCTGAAACAGTTTCCTGTTTCCGTTCTTGCCCCATGTTGCTAGAATAAAAATCTAGAAGTGCTAGGTTCAACAATATCTAAGCCTACCTAGAAACCCAGGTGGAAGACAGAAGATGAGACCTAGGGCTGACTTTGCGAATCATGCTGTGTTGATGTTTTTGACTACCCAAATGTGCCTTTCTATGTACACCTAAGGAATTAAAATGGGAAGAAGGCAAGGGTAGTCACTACTTCCCTGATAGCTCATGGCAACTCCTGGTATAATCAGAAGCATGCTGACAGACAACTTTTCTCTTTTGTGTATATGGACCAGGGAAAAGACAAATCACTATTCTAGAGAAGATGAGTTATTTTCCAGTTGCTTATGAATAAATCTAGCTTCTGATGATAGACATTTGTCTTAACACAGCATTTTGAGCAGATGTGCTATTCTCAACCATCATCAGAGGTAGTTGCTATTTAATATTTGCAATGGATGGCAGTTAAATGGAAACTCACAACTGGTCAAAGTACAGAGAATAAGTGACTATGGAGTGCTCACGTGTAGTGGGACATCAGATATCAGATATCACACATCCATTCCCTTGAGCCTCAGGGAAACATTGTAGAGGAGGAGGCAGGAAGATTGTAAGACCCAGAGTTTGGGAAGGAGTATTACAAACTTCCTCCAGCAAGGTCACATCTTTTCCAACAAGGTCACACCCTGTATTGCTTCTAATTATTTCAAACTTCTACTCCCTGCTTACCAAGCACTCAAATATATGAGCTTGTGGTGGCCGTTCTTACTAAACCACCACACCTCTCCATGTTCAGAGTTTTAGCCAGGTTTAGTAGTAGCAACCATGAGTTCCCTTCTGTGGAACAGACCTAAATCCAACCAGAAAAGTGGTTGGTTATCCACATAACAATCTCGGTAGATGGTTGTTGTTATAGCTCATGTGGTTTACAGCTGGGTAAGACCATTGATGATTTTTCTGCCCTAGCAGTCTGCCACTATGGACTATGAATTATTTATAAATCTCATTACTAACAAAGAGTGAATGATGTAGTTGTCTAGTACATTATTGTTAAGGTAGTGCTTTCTTCATAGTACCTGTTTGGTTCTGGGAGACTATTAAATAGATATATGACATTTTAGAAATGAAATGGCCGAAAAACTATTTCTTTCAGGGACTATCTTACTATTAACTATTTTTAAGTGCTCAACAGAATTATACTTTCATAAATCTTAAGGATTATTTATAATAGCTAAGACAAATGTGTTTGAATCATATATTTGAGTTATATATTCCCCCTTGTCCTTCTCTGAAAATTGTTTATAAATTCCTGTCATTGATTTCTAAAAGAATTTTATCTGTATCTTTATATCAAATTTCACTTATATATTCAACAATAGCAAAATCCTAAACATTTAGCATTTTAAGTATATTTCAGAGTTCTCTAGAGCCTACACCAAAACTTTATTATACTATTTTAAAGTTATGATTATTTGTTTTTATTTTATATGTTTTATTTATTCAGGGAATTATTTTTAAAAATTTTTTAAGATTATATCATTATTAACTTCACAAATACTATAATATCAGTAAATTTTTTTATGAGATTTCTTACATGTTTTCTTAGGGAACAAGTTCGATTTAATGGCTTTGGAATTTTTCTCTTCATTATTTATCCTGGAGCATTTGTTGATCTGTTAACCAACCATTTGCAACTTATATCACCAGTCCAGCAGCTAAGGATATTTTGTGCAGGTAACAAATAGATTTCATTGTTTTTTAAATGTTTATGTGTTGTTTGGGTTTTGATTTTCTGTGGTTAGTGACTTTATTGAAAGTACTCTAGTGAAAAACATTTGGTTAATAAATTCAGCTCCTTATTACTACCTCAAAAGCAGTTTTATTTGTTTGTTTTGTTTGTCTTTTGAGATACAATTTCACTGTGCTGAACAGCCTTCGCTGTCCTGGAACTAGTTCTGTAGATCAGGATGGCTTTGAACTCACAGAGATCCATCTGCCTCTGCCTCCTGAGTGCTGGGAATAAAGGCATGCGCCACCACCGCCTGGCCAAAACCAATTTTTTAAAAAACCAACATAAATTAGTAAAAATTTAAATTAAAAGCAAAGGAGAAAATTTCATGTTTACTGGAGCAAAGGAATGGTCAAAACCTAAAACCACAACTATGAAATCTACAAAGAAATGTGCAAAAGTCAAGAGAGGACATGAAAAGTCAGTCACATGATAAACCGTAATTCAAGAATGAAGAAAAGATGGTATGCAAGGATTGACGCAGAACTCTAGCACTGTCGGAGTTCCGCCAGCCAGGAAGACTCACCTGGCGATAGATAATTATGTAGGGGAGAAGTTCTGGGAAAAACAGATTCATCTCAGCTACAGGAACCCAAGGCAAATCTACTGCAATCCTACATCTCATTAAATGGAGTAACTAAGGCTAAACAAGTATGGAAATAGAATTTTTGAACACACTGTGTTATAACTAACCAGTAAAATAAAGAATTGATGTGGGGGCTAACAACATCGCTCGGTGAGTAAAGATTCTTTCTGCCAAGCCAAGCCTAATGACCTCAGTTTGATTTCTAGGTCCTATTGGTAGGAACCAACATCCACAGGTTGTTTTCTGAATTCTGTGTTCGTGCCATAACATGTGCTGCACAAAATAAATAAAATATATGTTTTAAAAATGTCTTTAGGGGTTAGAGAGATGGCTTAGCAGTTAAGAGCACTTGCTACTCTTAAAGAGGACCTAGATTTGGTTCTCAGCACCCACATGGTGCTTCACAGCTATCCTTAACTCCAGTTTAAGGGCTCAATGACCTGACCTCCTTAGGTCACATAGGCAAAATATTCATACACATAAAATAAATTACTCATAAAAATTAATTTTTTCTTTGAAAATTTGGAGGTAGACAAAGTAAAAGCAATAAGTCTGCATACTAATCCCCTCATTTCCTTAGTAGTGTGAATCAGATAATTGAGATAAAGTCAGAAATAGTGATTTGAGTGTAATAATATACAGTAAATGATCTGAAAAATAAATTTAAACATTTCAAGTGATCATAGGAAATGAAAGTAGATAATAGAAAAAAAGTCCTTATATCATGATGAAATAAGCCAACTTTTAAAAAATGAAAATATATTATTTTTCTTTATTATTATTATTATAAATTAGTCCAAATAGAAATGAGATAAACTCTACTATTAAAATGTCAGGCTGAGATATAGTTTACTGGTAGGGTGCTCACATAGCATCTGTGAGGCCCTGGTTTGATCCCCGTCACTACAAAAAAGCCCTTAGTTTAGATTTAAAAAGTATCTTAAGTTTGTGATGTTTAGAAAAATATGTGTATGTTACTCAAATATTGGAAAGTATATTCTATGCAAATAATAAAAAGTCACTTAATAATAAGTAATATAATCTACTATGACAACTAATCATCATGATTTGTATTTTATGAAATACAAAATCAGAGCACCAAACAAAATAGATAAAGTAGGACAAATATAAATATAATATATTTATCTCATGTATAAAAATAAGACCATGGAGTCTCATAATTTTAGTTTTATAAATATAGATAAGTTAGATTTTATGTTATGAACACAGGAGACAATTTCTTTTTAAATGCCCATATAGTTGAAAAACCAAAAAACCCATATATTCACAAGTCTCCAATCTAAAGAATAATAGTAGGAAAACAGAAATTTGTCTTAATCACACATTGGATCCATTTAATTAGAAAACATAATAACTTGATGATATTAGTTATGATTAATTATTCAAAATAGTAATAATGAGATTTTACTAGAATACAGTATAAAGCATTACTAAGAGAAAAATTCAATGCCATACACAGTTCTTATAGAATTAGAAATGGAAATAAGCCTCAGTGGTTAAGAGCATTGCCTGCTCTTCCAAAGGTCCTGAGTTCAATTCCCAGCAACCACATGGTGGCTCACAACCATCTGTAATGAGATCTGGTGCCCTCTTCTGGCCTGCAGGCATACATACAGACAGAATATGTATACATAATAAATAAATAAAATAAATATTTAAAAAAAAAGAAATGGAAATAAGCCAGACAATCAACTTAAGAAATATGAAGACAAGTATAAAATAGTTAAGAAATAGCAGGATAGGGCCTAGATAGATGACTCAGAAGTTAAGAGGACTTGCTGCTCTTGCAGAGGACTTAGCTAGCTTAGGATTTAGTTCCCAGCACCCACATGGTGGTTTACAACCATCTCTAACTCTAGGGCCAGACAATCTGATGAGCTCTTTAAACTTCACAGACACCAGATATACATACATAAAGGGAAAATAATCACACACATAAACTAAAGAAATAATGGGGTAACTAATGATATAATCAAAAATAAGAAATTACAGAAGAGTCAGAGTGTTAAATCCAAGAGCTATTCTAGAAAAATAAATAAAACATTAAGCTACAGGGAGAAAGCTATTGACAGACCTGTATTCAGATTGGTGAATAATATCTGATACACAGAATATTTTATCATTTTAGTGTTTTTTTGTTCATCTCTGAAAAAAGTTTTCAGAAAACTGAAGAATTACAAGAATGTGAAAATAGCTGAAGTTAACTAAACAGGCTAATAATTACAAGAGAAGAAATTAGAAAAGTTGGTAAAGATTTTCCCTTAAAGTTTTATAGGTAGAATAATAAAATCCTGAATAAATTTTTCTAATAAAAGATTATAAAGTGAAATAATGTATGCCATAGTAGTCAAAAAAATGTATCGTATTAACTACATTTTAAACATCAAACAATTCCAGAATGTCATCATAATAGTCCTTTTGATATTATAGCACAATGCAGTTATAATACATAGTAAATGATGTTTATTTATACAGTAAAGATTAAATCACTAGTAATGTTTATATTGAGACAAATATTTAGATATACACAACAGTTAGTATGTATTTTTTAAAGTTAACTTTCCAAAGTATTATCATAATTCAAAAGTTAAAGTGGTATGCATAGCACTCAGCAAATATTTTCAAAATAGTTCAAACATGCTTTGTAGTTTTCTCTACAATTTTCATTCCATATATATGCAATTTTTAGAAATAGTGTCAAAAATGAAAAGAAAATTTAGCATAAAAATTTTCAGATTGTATACAGAAGGAAACTAAGTTTTTCAATTGTTTTGATTGTTGTAATTGGATTTTTGTGGAGGGTTTGGGGGTTTTGTTTGTTTTTTGAGATATGGTCTTACTGTGTAGTACAGGCTGAATACCAGTTCTTGCCTCAAGCTTCAGAGAGTTGAGAATGGAGGTATATGCCTTGCAGAAACTGGGTTTTTATTTTGCTAAGCAAATACAGCACTGGTAGATTTGTGTGTGTGTGTGTGGTAGAGCACAAAATGTGGTAGATTTCAAGAAGGCAAGTAAAGTCGTACTTAGTAAAATGAGTAGTTGCATGTTTCACGTATTTATTAAATTTATTAAAGGACAAAGCCTGGTGGTTGTGGCGCACAGCTTTAATCCCAGCACTCGGGAGGCAGAGGCAGGCGGATCTCTGAGTTCGAGGTCAGCCTGGTCTACAAAGCGAGTTCCAGGACAGCCAGAGCTATACAGTGAGACCCTGTCTTGAAAAACTAACTAATTAAATACACACACACACACACACACACACGTATGTATGTATGTATTTTATATGTCTGAACACATACACATACATAATTTTCTATGTATAAACATATATATAAAATGACAAGATAATCAACTATTTCTGATGACATGTATATTAGTAAGTTTTATGGTTAGATAAGGGGAAATAAATAATTATAAAGGGGCTGAGGCTCAGTGGTAGGGTGCTTGTATAACATACACACACAAAGTGTAAAATTAAAATAGAATAGACGTTTTCTAGATCTGATACAAGCCTGGCCGAGGGGAGGTAAGAAAATCAACTGAAATAAAATAAGGAAACCAGTAAAGAACCTAGAAAGGAAGATTATTTTCAGTCACTAATTAGATAGGGCAGCAGGAAAGCCAATGCAGGTTCCATAGGCCACCAGAAAGTTGAACGAGCTTTAGGCATGCGCAGAAGAGCTTGCTGGATGGTCTGTCTCAGTGCAATGACGCATCTAGTGGCGCGTCTTTGTGACGTGTACTACGCATGCGCATGCGTCTGCCCGGAAACAGCACTTAACGCCTCAGACGACGGCAGCTCTTCTCCGAAGCGCACGCTTTTCGTCGAGCTCTCGGGTTTGTTTAATTTTGTGTTTTGTCATTGTTCTGTTGTTGTTTTGTCATTGTTGTCGTTGTTTCTAAGCACGCAAGTGCGTGCTTATCTTCCCTGATATTTTTTCTACTCCACAGCCATCTCCCATCGGCTTGCTACCCAGTCCTGCTACGTGGGTCTCAGCCATGGCCTCAGAGAATCTTTTCTGTGTCACCACAGAAAATTCAGAGATTCCCGCTGATTTTGTAGACCTGGAGCCACTTAATGTCGACGCGGTTTCTGGAACCAGCTCATTCCCAACCATCGAAGTGTATGAAGACGCAGGTGTCGATTGGGCGCGTGGTGGCCACTACCACTCTCCTTTTATTGCTCTGCAGCCTCTCGAGGGCAGCACCCTGAGTAATGGGGAGCACGATCAGGATATGATCGTTGTCGAGACACGAGAGGAGGTGGTGGACTTCCAGGACTCAGACAACCTGCTATTCAGTGCTGAATTCGAAAGCCAAATGGTTGTTCCAGGTATTGATGAAGATTACAATCTCCAGCCGACCAGTGCCTTCTTGTCAGGCTTCGCGGCAGCAGAGAATGGTCAAGATGAGCTCAGCTGCTATGAAGGGAATCTCTGTAATTTGACGACCGTTTTCGAGGCTGGCGTAGAAGGTGTGAGCCCTGACCTGGGCGTCAAACAATGGCAGCATGAGCAGGTGGAAATTGAAGCTCTTGAGGGAGAATTACCCTCTACCTCGTGGGAGGCTAATGGACAAAAAAATCCCGTGCCGAAAAGGCAGGCTGACGACGACTCACCTCCTGATTACTCTGCATATATGACGGGAAAAAAATTTCCTCCTGAAGGAATACCTGGCATTGACCTGTCTGATCCGAAACAGCTGGCAGAATTTACAAGCATGAAACACAGAAAGCCCAAAGGAGACTATCCAAGACCTATAGTTTGCTCTCATATAGGCTGTGGGAAGATGTTCAAGGATAACTCGGCTATGAAAAAGCACTTAAACGTCCATGGGCCTCGAGTGCATGTCTGTACAGAATGTGGCAAAGCTTTTGTTGAGAGTTCGAAGCTGAAACGTCATCATCTGGTTCACACTGGAGAGAAGCCCTACCAGTGTACCTTTGAAGGCTGCGGAAGACGCTTTTCCCTGGATTTCAATCTGCGCACTCATGTCCGAATTCATACTGGAGACAAGCCGTTTGTGTGCCCATTTGATGGCTGCAGCAGGAAGTTTGCTCAGTCGACCAACTTGAAATCGCATCTCTTAACACATGTTAAGAACAAGTAAAAAGAAGTGAGAAGATCCTTCTGAAGCCTGGGGAGTATTTTACAGTGATGTGCCTGGGAATAAGATGCCTCTCATTTCAATAGTTTCTAGGAAAGTTATTGCTATTGCAAATGAATTCTACAGATCTGAGGTTTATCTTTGGATACAATAAAAGTTAAAAGTTTTATGTTGATTAGATGCCCTATTTGTGCTGCAGTGAAGTTTTGTTAAGTTTGGTTTCAACAGGCTAGACTAACCTCACATTGATGCCATGTGTTTTGTACTAATATACTTTTCGAAGCTTGGTTTCAACAAGAGACTAATTCACGAACCTCATATTGTTGCTAAAGATGACCTGTGTTTTTTTGCTGGAGTTTTTGGTTTCCATAGGAGACTAAATAATGAACTTCATATTGTTAAAATATCCTATCTTCTGTAGTAGTATTTTTATGAAACTGGTTTCAGCAAGATACTAATTCACAAACTAGATATGCTAAAGTGACCGGTTTTAGTCCGCAGTGGTGTTTTTATGAAACTCGCTTTCAACAGGAGACTAACTCATGAACCACTTTGTTTCTAAAGATGGCCTGTGTTATTTTGCTTTGAAGTGTTTAGAGCAGCTTGATTTCAACATATAATAAATCACAAACCTCATTGTTACTAAGATGTTCTGTGTTTTCTGCGAGGTGATTTTTTTTTTATTTTTTGTGTTGGTTTCAACAGGACGCTGTATCATAAACCTCATATTGCTAAGGTATCCTGTCTTCCTCTGATGTGTTTTTATAAAGTTTGAACAAGAGACGGTTTCATATGCTAAAATGATTGCTTTACTCTGTGGTGGTGTTTTTATGAAACTTGCTAATTCATGATCCTCCTATTGCTAAGGTGTCCTGTATTCTACAGCAGTGTTATTTGTAAAGTTGGTTTTGACAGGATAATAATTCATGAACCTCACAACATATGCCCTGTTTTGTTCTGCAGTGGTGTTTTTGTGAAGTTTGGTTTCATCAGGCAACTAATTCACAAGCCTCATATTCTCGATAAGTGGCCTGTCTTATTTTGCAGTCGTGCTTTTGTGAAGTTTGGTTTTGGCAGGAGAATCACACATGAAATTCCTGTCAAATTACATTTCTTTATACAACTGTGTTAAAAATGGGACTTTTGCATTCTTATAAATATGTAATATTTTTTAATTGTGTGTTCTAAGTGCTCATGTTTACTTTTAGGAATATGCTTAGTAATTGTATATATGTTTTCTGTGGAGTTGATGTTTGTAAAATATAGTCTTTAAAGCATGGGCAGTTTTGTACATACATATTCTGTTAAATGTTATAGGTTTGTTTGCTGTCTTAATTTTGGCAGTATTCCTTGATGTCAAGACATTTTTTGTAAATTTCTTTTAGCTGTATTATACAGTGTAGAATATTAGATGATTTAATCATATTAGCCAATTTAAGCACCTTTTAATCACTTTATGCCTTCCCCTCATACTGCCTAAGGTGCTGTTGTTGAGTATAATTTCTTTGTCTGATTAATTAAGAATAGTGTCGGATTTAATAATATTTTGTCTTCAAATTGATTTCATGTTTGGTGTGTACTTTTGTGTGATAGAAAAAGCAAAAATAAAGTAACTGTTTGGAGCATTAAAAACAGCTTGCTTGTGTGAATAACGTTAGCTAGAAAATAAGGAAAGAGGAAAGTGTTGCTGGTGTCAGGTCAGTAACCATCAGTAATAGTAATTCTAACAGAACATCTGGTAGTGCACAGAACAGTGACAAAAAATTATTTAGCCAAACTGTGTTTTGTGTCACTATTAAAAAACTGTGCTCTTGAGAAAGCAGAAGTGGTAAGAAGTATTTCGGAAGTATACTAATAGACAAAGCATTAACGGCCAAGAGTTTGTTTAGATGAGTGACACGTGTCTGCTTCACACACACGCCTAGCCATCATTGGCAAATTCAGAATTTAGAGGGTAATAGTACCAACTGCAAGCTTGAAAGACAATTGAGAAGTACCCATAAAGTCGAAACCAGTGCTGTCATGTGACCCCACATTTGTTCACTTGTCCATGCCTGTTTCATTTACTAGCGACAGGGCAGTATTATGAATTAGTTTGTTCAGAGAAAATGCTAGTGCGTAAAATAAAGAAGAATAAAGAGGGGATTTCCTTGGTTTTGATTGTTTTTTCGGGTTTTTTTTTTTTTTTTTTTTAGTTTTTCAAGACAGGGTTTCTCTGTAGCTTTGGAGCCTGTCCTCGAACTCACAGAGATCTGATGGAGGAAGGTCATTGGTTAAATAAAGAAACTGCCTTGGCCCTGATTGGTTAGAACATAGGTAGGTGGAGTAAACAGAACAAAATGCTGGGAGGAAGAGGAAGTGAGCTCAGAGGCCATGCTCCCCTCTCCCGGGCAGATGCACACGATGAAGCGAGCCGCCAGGTCAGACATGCTGAAGCTTTCCCGGTAAGACCGGTGCTACACAGCCGGTGCTACACAGTTTATTAGAGATGGGTTGATCGGGATATCAGAATTAGCCAGTAAGGGCTAGAGCTAATGGGCCAAGCAGCGTTTAAAAGAATACAGTTTGTGTGTTTTTATTTCGAGTAAAGCTAGCCAGTGGTGGGAGCTGGGTGGCGGAATGCAACCCGCAGCTCCTACTACAGAGATCCGCCTGCCTTTGCTTCCAGAGTGCTGGGATTAAAGGCGGGCGCCACCACCGCCTGGCTCTGTTTTTTTTTTTTTTTTTTTTTTTTTGGTTTTTTAAGACAGGGTTTCTCTGTGGCTTTGGAGCCTGTCCTGGCACTAGCCTCTGTTTGTTTTTTTTAGACAAGATCTTGCTCTGTAGTCCAGGCTGCCTTGAATTTTCACAATGTAGTCCTCCCTGGCCTGTAACTTACAGCAGTTCTGCCTCAGCTTCCCAAAGGCTGAGATTATAGGCATAACCCTCCAGGTTTAGACTGATTTATCTTTATTTTTTAATATTCTGTTTGTTTGATGAGGTTAGGAAAGAGGTGGGTGTGGCCATGTGCTTGCTGTGACATACATTTTAAGATCAGAAGACAACTTAAAGGAATCTGCTATGTGGGACCTGGGAATGGAACTCAGGTCATCAGGCGTGGCAGCAAGAACCCTTACCAATTTAGTAATAGCATGGCCCCTTTTTATTTGTTTTTGTTTTTGATGAAGCTTTGAAAGTACTATAAAAAAGCATGAGTATATTATTAAAAGTAGGAAAGACTTATTATAACAGAGCTGATTGACCATATTGGGGTTTCTATTTGGGGTGTTGTTGTTGCTACAGTTTATTGGTTCAGGGTTTGTTACCCCATGTAGCCCAGGTTGGTCTCACTCATGAGCCCCCCCCCCCCCCCCCCGTGAACTGTTACGTATTATTCTGTTTGTACAAAAAATAAGAATTCGTCGCATTACGGGCTGGAGAGATGGCTCAGTGGTTAGGAGCACTGACTGCTCTTCCAAAGGTCCTGAGTTCAATCCCCAGCAACCACATGGTGGTCCACAACCATCTGTAATGAGGCCTGGTGCCCTCTTCTGACTAACTGCATACAAAATAAATAAATATTTAAAAAAAATAAAAAGTAATTTACACTTAAAATAAGATGAGGTGAAATTCCCCCCTTTTTATATGTTTCTGGAGCTATTACAAAACTGTATTTACTAAATAGTTGATAAAAATATTCTTCTGGAAAGCCAGACTGGGTGGTGGTGGGACACACCTGTTAATCCCAGCACTAGGGAGGCAGAGGCAAGCGAATCTCTTGAGTTCAACGCCAGCCTGGTCTACACAGTGAGTTCTAGGACAGCCAGGGTTGTTACACAGAGAAACCCTGTCTCGGAAAAAAATTCCTCTGGATTGTATGAGGGAGATAGCCATGAAGCATGCATGCTTAGTCGGACTTTCTTATTTCAGAGTCTGGACTCTTGTTTTGGTCTCGGTTGTTTTCCTGCAGGGAGATCTTTAGTTTCGTGGTTTAATTTGTCCTTTTCTTTCCTCTTCCCTTTTGTTTGAATTTTTTTTTTTTTTTGTTTAATAAAGCATTACCGTCTCCCTAACCCCTATTCTTTGAGGCCTATTTTAGCTTTAGGCGGACCTTAACTGAAGCCCTGTGGAACAATACTTGGGTACTTTGTCTCAGCTGCCGCCCGCCTTCCTAGGCCCCCGCCACCTAAAGCTCGCCTTCAGAGAGCCCGCCATTTTAGGCCCTGTCCCCTAAAGCCCGCCTTCTGAGAGCCCGCTTTTCTGGCCCCACCCCCTAAAGCCCGCCTTCTGAGAGCCCGCTTTTCTGGCCCCACCCCCTAAAGCCCGCCTTCTGAGAGCCCGCCTTCCTAGGCCCTGCCCCCTAAAGCCTGCCTTCCTAGGCCTAGCTCTTCACAGCTCTTGCACATGCATCCTTGGATATACAAACAGTAAAAAAACATGCTGTTTATCACGATGCTGTTAAAACATTGTGATCTTTAATAGGTAGGTTTATAGGCTGGTGAAATGGCTGAGCCCTTAAAATCACATTCGCTTCTAGATAACCTGAGTTCAGTTCCCAGCAGCTTGCAAGCGCTTATAGCTTCAGGGGATCCTATATATCTGGCTTCCACAAGTTCACACACATACACACAACAATTTAAAGACTTGGGGGGTTGAGACGGATTCTCATTGTAACAGTCCTGGCTGTCCTAGAATTCTCTGTAAACTAGGCTGGCCTTGAACTCACAGAGTTCTACCTGCCTCTGCCTCCCAAGTGCTGGGATTAAAGGCGTGCGCCACCATTGCCCCACTAATTAAAATATTTTTAATGATGAGTTTATAATATTTTCTTTTGTACCAAATCTAAGACATCAAATCAATGATACTGCTATAATTTGGTATTTTTCCATATTTGCTAACTATATTTAATAAATAATTTTATACTGAGGTGTTGAGACAGTTTGGGGGATAAAGGCATTTGCTGCCAAGTCTCATGACATGAGTTCAGTCACCAGGCCTCACATGGGAGAAGGCAAAACCGTCAACAAATTGTACTTTGACTCCCATGTGAAGGTATAGTGTAGCACACATGAGCAAGCACATGCACTAATATAACAACTAAAATAATATAATTTAAAATTTTTAAATTGATACGTTTTAAAAAATCTTTAAAATTTCTGTGTGTGTGTCTGTGTGTGTGTGCGCGCGCGCGTGCTTGCGGGCACATGTATGTGTGTATGGTATATGCAATGTATATATAGATGCACTGACCCAAGCATGCACTTGCGGAGGCCAAGAATGATGTCCACACCTTCCCTCCATCCCCCAAAATTTGGGGAGACAGTATTTCTCACAGAACCTAGAGCTCATGGCCAGTGAGCCCCCAGGATCTGCTGTCTTCACTCCAGCTGCTGAAATTACAGATAGGTACCTCTGTGCTCCACCCTTATGCTGATTCTAGGGATCTCGGTTCAAATTCCTATGCTTGCACAGCATGTGTTTTACCTACTGAACCATTTCCCCAGTCCTAAGAATTTTGCTTTCTAATTTCACCCTGACTTTCATTTGTATATGTTTGGGGTTATCAAAGAACATGGATATGTTTAAATTAAGGGTGTGTATATTTATTCTATAAAGATGGCATACTTAGAAGGTGTTTGTTGTATTTTTATTAAACCATAATCTCATACAGCCTTCAGAATTATAGCATGTACACTTCAGATTTTAGTATCTGAAATGAAGGCAGACTTAGTAAGCATCTATCTGCTTAACAGTTAATAGAACCCTCTGCCTCACAACCCTGTTCTGTTTATAGTCTTATCAGAATGCCATGTGTTACAAAGTCCAGCAAACTGTTATTCTTGCTACTGTTGAACTTATTACTTTTATTCTCTCTCTTTTCAGGTATATGGCATAATTTTGTCCTTGCTCTCCTTGGTATTTTAGCTCTTCTTCTACTCCCAGTAATTCTCTTACCATTTTACTACACTGGAGTTGGGGTACTTATCACTGAAGTTGCAGAGGTAAATAATGGATCGCCTAGGGTGTCCTCTCACCAGATGCTCTGTTGTAATTCTTAAAATCCCTTCAAATGCAAACATAGTGTTGGAAAATAAATTGGATTTTTTTTTAATGTCATGAAAATTGTTTTTCGTTCTGAGCTAAAGAGGTAATATCAAGATTTTGTATGTGATTTATTGATAAAAATGCTTTGTTTATCTTTATTATTTTTATATTTCTGCTTTTTCAATACCACTAAGAAGAATAATTAAACCTAGGTTACCCAGCCAAAACATTTTGTAGGAGTGTTTTAAATTGTTTTTACTGAGCTTTATATTTTGCTCCTCTCCCCTCCTTTTCTCCCCTCCCCTTCTCATTTTGTAGGAGTTTTAAGTTAACTGCTAATTCTGTCTTTTAGTAGCTACTGTGATGCTGTCAAGACTTTATCTTTTCAAGACGAAAATTGCCTTTGTCTGTATATTTGGGGATGTGATTACATAAAGACTTATCCTGTGGTTTTGTTCACTAAGGATATAAGAGTTTCTCTTGAATTTATAAAAATTTTATTTATGTTTATATATGCTACACATACGTGAGTACCAGTAAAAGCCTTTTAGAAGATGGTGTTTGATTCCCTGCTTCTGGAGTTAGAGGTGGCTGTAAGCTACCTGATGTAGATGCTGGGGACTGAACTCAGGTCCTCTGAAAGAGCAACAGTACCTACAAAGTCTAGAAGAGTGTCTTGGATCCCCTGGAGCTGGAGTTAGACCCTTACATGGGTACTGGGAACCGAACTCAGGTCCTTTGGAAGAACAGCTTAACTGCTGAGCCATCTCTCTTGAATTTTAATTAGCTGGTATTTTGTATATGTTTATAATCTGTGTTCAAGTGAGTATGCGCATGTGTGTGTGTGTGTGTGTGTGTGTGTGTTGATGCATATGGAAGCCAAAGGTTGACATCAGGTGTTTTCCTTAATGCTCTCCCCCTAATATGTATTTATTTATTGAGATAGGATCTCACTATATAGCCCTAGATGTCCTAAAACTCACTGTGTAGAGTGGGCTGGCCTTGAATTCATAGAGATCCTCCTGCCTCTGCCTCCTCAGTGTTGGGATTAAGGCTATACACCACCACACCGTTACCCCCTACACTTA